CTTGCTGCGTCCCGAATTCGAGCACCGTAACCTCTGCGTGGCTTCGCAGCGCTGTGCGGAAGCGATTCTCCTCGCCAGAGCGCGCGGAGGTAGAAATAAAGAAAAAGAAGCCGATTTGCATCTTTAAGCTGAGTGACCACGACCTCAGGGCGCACAATTCCAGTATACGCTTCGCTGACAAGAAGCTTGATTGGCTCGGCAGTTATCTCTTCCAGTTCGGAAACTGGAGCCGTTTTCATCTGTTGCCTGGAAACTCGAATCATGATAAATGCGGGGATATCATCTGAAAGAGCGTCCAGCAAGCGGTGCTCCTTGATCAAAGCCATGGCCGTGTCCGCATCTTGTAGTCGAATGTAACAGTGCAATGCTTCGTTATAATGACCTCCGGCCAGGTAGAGCTTGGCAAGGCATTTGGTAAGTATCCGCCAGTCCTCTGTTTCAGGTGACACCGTCCTGGGATCCAACTGTTCCTCGACAGCTGCCGTTACACTATTAACATCAAACAGCGTGAAAGGCCATGAATCCAAGAGTTCGCTGAATCTGTGCCGATCTCGAGAAACATAATGGCTCAGGACTTCCTCATATATGTCCGCCGACAAGGGCGGATGAAAATCTGCCGGAATAACAGAAGAGATTTCGTCAAACTTCTTATTCTTCACAAACGCCCACGCCCAGTGCTCCCATGCGGAAGTGGTCTGTATTGCCTTCGCGCAAACTTCAGCGGCTCGACTCCAGTCGTCTTTCTCGAGCAACTGTTTGATCCATAGCTCACCAATTCGGCGCTTCTCTTGGTCAGCGGCAGAAGCTACAGCTCGACCAGTAGTCGTAATGGACGACCTGTCATCGGCGAAGAAGTCACCCAAGCTGCTCTGGGACCTTGTTGAGATACCTGGCATATTATCCGAAATTTCCTGTGTTCCCGCCGCCTCTGGATGCTCCTCCAGAAGCTTCCACGCTTCTTCATATTTCTCATGTGCATCTAACCAAGCTAGACGATCCGAAAGGTCTCTCTTCGCCGCAACCACGCAGTCATAAGGGCTGTGGATGAAGATCTTGGGACCAGCGCTTGCTGCAATGTCCTGTACTTCTTTGGACACAGGTTCTTCATTTGGCATCCGTTTTGAGGCCAGTATACTTGGCGCTCTGATCGAACTCTTGTCGCCGCTACTTGTTGTGCTCCGGATACTTGCACCAGAGCTGAACAACCTCGCGGGGTACATCGTCGCGTCCCAGATGCCATTCCCAAGTGCCTCCAGAGCCCCACGTTGAGACACAGGCACTGATGATTTCCACGGCGGTATGACGCACATGTGGTAGTCTGAAGAAGTGAGATTTTCATAACGACTAACTGTAAGCGAATCGGCGCTGAGCTCTTCTTTCGTATCAATATCAATAATGCGAAGCTCGGGTTCCAGGCCCCGGGGACGGCGGTGTGAGCGAGGAGGAAGGACGCCATGCTTCGTCCGCTCTTCCGAAACACTCTCCTCCTCGGCCTCAATATATGCAAGAACAGCTATAAGGTTTGGTGTATATAGTGAAATGCCAGATATAATACAGTCGGTTCGCAAGCTAGAGTCAATTTGTTAGCGATCGCGTCATGATTATGGCAAGGCGAACTCACATAGTGGAGACTTGGACAGATCCTATCTTCAGGTCCTTATTGTTTTTGTTTGGCCGGTCGGGATACACATTGATGACCCAAACAGTCCCTCCCCAACCCACGACGAGCCTCTCTACGTTCTCCTTCGTCGCAACTACATCCGCTGGGGCGGGAGTGTCAAGATGAGGTTCGTCCTGCTGGGACTTCACATTATCCTCCCAGCGCAGAGAATCTTCGTCCACCCATTCAGCTCGAGCTCTCCAGACGCCGGCCATTTCTTCCCATCCAGGGCCGTTCGGACGGTCGATGTGGCTAATTCGTTTCCAAGCAAGCTCAGAGTCCGCTGAGTCCAGATGTAGGTTCGACCGCATAATCTTGATCCCTTCTTCATTGACCCATACGACGTATTTCCCCGACGATGACCATTTAATCGTGCTGATAGCACCCTCCCCGCTGTGTAATATGGTGTCCCTGCCGGTATTGGTTCCCAACCCGATCGATCCAAGCCAGCTGGACGCCGCAGCTGCGGCGCCTCCCATTGTCGTCGAGTTCGTGCTCACACCCACCCGTCCACCAGTCGTAAGAATCAGATCACCCGCTCGCCCTCCCGACAGGAATGTTCGATCGCTTTTGTATTCGGGTGATAGTGCAACGGCTTGGACAGGCCGCCCAAAGTTCCGTAGAAGGACATCTTTAGTATCAACTAAAGAGGTAACGCATACATTACCATCGATAGAGGAAGTCGCGATGTAGATGGAATTGGAGGGTGTCGCGGGTGGAGCTGTCTGATGGCTAGATTTATTGCGACCACGAAGGCTGGCCGTGCTGAACGAGGATCGAGTGGGAACAGCTTGATCTTCAGTGGCCGTTTTGGTGACGTTCTCTGCTTTGAGGCTCGGCAAAGGAGGAGGGAACGGAGAGATTGAAATTGAAGTGACGCTCGCTGAGTGTGCGTGATAAATCCGAAGCGACTGAAATAGCGGCAAGGAAAGCACATGCTGCAAGACATCAGTTACTGCGCCAGCAGGACAAGTGGCCATGTTAACTTACAATATTGCCATTGTGTGTTCCGATAATCTAGTGAATATTTCAGCAAAGGAAAGTGAATCGTACGCTTTTGAAATCATACCATCTTATCGCCCGCGGTAAGGAATGAGCTAGTTGCGTCGCCATTGCGGTACACCGCGCCCAAATTTTTCGTGAGATACAGGTATTTGAGCTGAGGCTCCTCTTCGTCGTCATCGTCATCTTCTTCTTCTTCCTCTTCAGTGTCTGCCTTTCCACTACCCTTATCATCCTCATCCTCGTCGTCTCCATCCGCAGGTTGTTCGGGCCGAAAGCTGTGGTCGGTGGTTCTTTGCTGCATGGAAGCGTCATGTGCCGGGCTGTCCTGATGGGCATCCTCTGTAGGCTCAGTCGCGCCAGGCGCGTCCATGGCGAACGCCTATTTCCGTTCCTGGAGCAATTGAAAGATGACCACAGGTGGGGGAATCATGTCATGACGAGCAGTTGGTGGACCTGGGGTAACTTGGGGGTACCTGATGACTAAGCTCCTAGCTCAAAACGCCATTGAAAGCCGGTTGGATGGGTTGAAACACTTTCTTTTGCAACACTCTGTTTTCTGCGTCAAATTTTAATGCATTGTTGTACAAGAGTAAAGTTAATGGATTCCTGCTCGGCCGCCCTTTTGGATTCCTCAGTACCAATACCACAGCATGCTCGCAAGACCTAACGTCTGTTCGATATGCAGAAGGCCCACTGTGGCTAGGCTCTTGAAACAGCCGCAGAGCCATAATCTTCACGCTTCATATCCCCTTGGCCTTCCTCGGCGCAAAGATTTCTTCTCATCCAATGCCTTTCTCAGTCAGAAACAGTCCAAAAATGGTGATTTATCGCAGGAGTTATTATCGGAGACGCAGAAGCAACGCAGGAGAGGCGCCAGAAACCCGGCAGCACCCACATCGTTACGGAGAGTGGCAGTGGAGGCACAAAGGTCGAAAGACGGGATCTTATCAAAAGCTCAACTGAAAGAGCAAGGGATTTACCAGACTAAGGTTTCAATAGCTGCGCACTCAAGCAAGCATCGACCGCTGATATTGGACTAAAAGGCAGTAACAGCCTATGCTGTAGCAGAACAATTCGACATCCGCAAAGTCAGAGATATCCTCCAAGAGAAAGGTTTCGAGCCGGATCCGTTTCAAACAGGCCTTTTTCCCCAAGTCGTTCATATCCAAGTTCCCATCGATTCGATTCGACGCGTGAGTAATCCCAGCACGACCGATCTGTCATCCGATGAAGTTGGCGATGTATTCGTTTTCCCTTCCGGCACCGTGGTGGCATGGTCTTTGCCCGAGGGCTTTACATCTTTTCTGGCAACTAGAACCCTTCTCCCGGCGGCGGAAGGCGCCCACACAGAGAATCTGGAGACGGAGGATTTGGAATACATTGAGGACCCTCAACGGGAGAACAGCAGCATTAAAGGAGATACCATTATCCTTGGCACCAAGTCCGGTAACGATGACCCGGAATCGAAGCTTGGCCGGCAGTCTGTAGACACGGTCCTTACTAAGGTGGCATTTTCGTCAGGGTTGGCTCGAAGTACGAAACTGGCAGTGCTTGAGACTCTGCTGGCCAATTATTTCGAGTCAACCAGGACAATACCCACACTTCTATCGCAGGGCTCTCGCTTACCCTTCACAAGAGATTTTATCCTCCGCAAGACAGGCCAACTCCTGAGTGTGCGAGCCCAATTGAATCTCTATTCGGAGCTGACAGACTCATTGCCAGATTTATTCTGGGATAGCCGACATGAGCTGGGTCTAGAGGGCTACTACGAGCAGGTAGGAAGGGCACTAGATGTGGGCATTCGCATCAAGCTCTTGAATGAGAAAATGGATTACGCACAGGAAATAGCAAGCGTGCTTCGAGAGAGGCTGAGCGAGACACACGGCCTTCGGCTCGAATGGATTATCATCCTCCTCATTGCCGTTGAGGTAGGGTTTGAAGTTTTGAGGCTTTGGAAAGAACGCGCTCATGAGCTTGAAGCCAAAGCTGAACAAAGCTCGGAACCTTCGTGATCTTCTGGAGCCACGGTGTTTGTTCCTGCACGTCCGGCGATCACTCATGTCCTCGCAGAATAGGATAGCTATTTTCTGACTTAACAATGATACCCCCGCTCATCTTGAACGAGTCCTATCCATTTCACTCCTGGGATTCTCGAAGTGCCTTTGGTAATGTCCGACCTGGTAGATAGTTATCCTTTCTCCGCAGAAAGACTGATAAGCAACTCCGATAGCCTAATCAGGTACTTATCACCTGAACAGGTCACATGTGACACTAAGCTTAGTCACGTTTATGACGAGACATTCACGTGCATCCAGCATCATTCCCACGCCTTGCATTGAGAGCTATCTTCTTCTGGGCTGTTTCTTATATATAAGGGTTTCTCAGCTGCTTGTACATGTTACACTTTGTCCTGTCGTAACCACAATTCTCGGCTCTGCAGCGGGCGAGGAAGCAACCGTCACATCGTCTTCACTCCTAGTAGTTATACCGGCCCCACCGGAGCTTCGATATCAACAACCATGTTGCAGAGTATACCTGGACCGCAGCACATCCTGAAAGCTCTGACGGGCTCTTTGGGACTCTCGACTGTATTAGACCCAGATCATGAAGCTTCGCAAAACTCATTTCAATGCTCTAAACCGGAGTTGAGCTGTCACGCCCAGTACCATGGCCAGAACACTTGCTGCTTCAACTATCCCGGAGGGCAGATGCTCCAGACGCAATTTTGGGATGCGGATCCTGCGGTCGGCCCAGTCGACTCCTGGACTATTCATGGACTCTGGTGAGCTCTACATGATGCTACCGAAGCGCCTATCGTTGCAGACATGCATCCTACTGAATAGGACACTGATCACCTGGCTTCCCCTAGGCCGGACTTCTGTGATGGTGGCTTTGATCAATATTGTGACTCAAAGAGAAGATACAGCAACATCTCCCTGATCTTGGTCGACTCAGGCCGAGCCGACCTGCTAGAGTATATGAGTGAATTTTGGAAAGATTTCCGAGGCGACGACGAAGATCTCTGGGAGCATGAATGGAACAAGCATGGCACATGTATCAGCACTCTGGAAACGACCTGCTATGCGGATTACTATCCGCAGCAGGAAGTCGTAGACTACTTCAACAAAACGGTCGAGATCTTCCAGAAATTGCCTACTTACCAAGTGCGGACCCCATTTGACCATTACTTAGACTTGATCTGACTGACCGCTATTCTTAAGACCCTTGCTAATGCTGGTATCGTCCCTCGCATACGGAGACATACACGCTCGACGAGATCCAAGATACTCTAGCAAAAGCCCACGGCGCCGCCGTTACCGTCCGGTGTCGAAACCGTGCGCTGAATGAAGTCTGGTACCACTTCAACATTGCAGGTTCTCTGCAGGCGGGAGATTTCGTCGCCTCTGAACCAGGTCTGTGAAGCCCTGACCTTTCGCTTCTCACACGACGTCAATCATGCTAATGAATGAATGAAATGACCGCAGACGGCCTCAAGTCCAACTGCCCAGCCACAGGCATCCACTACATACCCAAGAAACCCCGCGAACCCTCCCGAACAACAGGCACTCCCTCGCAACCAACAAGCACCGGGATTCCGTTTCAGGGTCGCGGCAACCTGGTAGTGTCATCGATGGGTGGAAGAAGAGGCTGTATCATCAGCCGCGGGAAGTGGTTCGCCTCTGGCACATGCGCAACCTTCAAAGCGAAGAAGGTTACAGGTACGTTGCTCCAGGTATCTGCAAGAACACCCAGCTAACAAGGTAATCAGATGACACGTTCACCCTGCAATCTAGCAAGGGAATCTGCGCATTCGAAGGAGACGCTTTTAGCTGTGGCCCTCACGTCACTGCTCCAGAGGAGTTTTCCGTAAGTTCCATTTGTGCCCTCCACTGACCTGCGTCCGCTGACGAAATTACCACTGGTGCTACAGGTCCAGGATGGCAAGCTCTCCTATCACAGAAATACGACCTTTTTCGCAGACAAGGCACCAAAAGGCCGCACACAGAGCACCATCTTTGCTTCCCAGGATGAACATCCGATCGACCTTGCTATTACATGGAAGGAGCGTCGCTGAGCGAGTCGTATTGTCCTGTTTTGGTATGGTCCTTAAATCAGATAGATAGACCTCCAATTTGGTTTTCGATAGAGTTGAGTTTGCTCTAGAGATTCTATGTAGTTTCAAGAAGAGAGCGGATCTAATAGCAGGCCAAAGGCTCGAAGATAATTGATCGTGCGCAGCGTGAATAGTGGAATCTATTGCTCAGATAAAGTACAGGTCATGCAGACGACCGAGGATTAATTGTTAACAAGGATGCAGCGGGCCAAAAACTGTTCCCGAAAAGAGGAAAGTGAACGCCGGGATTAAGCTAGGGGACCGCTAAAACATGGACGAAGGATAGGAGTCAAAGGAGAGGCGACTGCAGAACCCTGCTGGGAAGGTCAAGTCTTGACTGCAGAACCCGAAATGTCGTACATGTGCGAGAAGAGAAAGAACCGAGATGAAGAAAAAACAAAGAATGTAACCCCGAAAATTTTTGTCACAGATGTCATTCACAACGAAGAAAGATCGTTGTGGAAGTTGTCATTGAAATTGTACATAAGTCGTGTCGTGGGAATTTGAAGGTCGTTGTCATACGTGTAGTTCCAGTCGTTGAAATCGGAGTCATGAGAATCAATTTGCGCGTCGGTCATTAGCCAGAGTCATTGCATCGTGTCATGGTATGTGTGGTGTTCATTCTATTCGTGTGGCTCGCCGCTCATGCGTCGTTTGAGGCCAAAGCTAGCAGTCCATGAAGAATTCTTTGGTCATATCATCAACCTGGAATTGGAGTGAAAAGAAGTCGTCGTTCATCGAGGTACCGGCAGAGAATGTCTTGCTCGAGAACAGATCCAGTCCGGGCTCGAAAGTAGACCCATTGACATAGTCGGGAAAAGCGGCCATGTCGGGGTCACTCAAATCGGGAAATTCATGCTTGAAGTTGGCGGAGCTGTCCGTGCTGATGAAGATATCGAGGTCGGAGCCGTGAGACGAATCAGCCAAGGTGGGAGCCGTATGTGGAGATGACAGCTCGGTGGTGGAGTTAGCAATATCGGTATATGGATTGGCATTCGAAATGAAAGGCAGGCTCGGTTCTTCAACAATCTTCTCGAGGGGCGCTTGGAGGGCGACAAAGGCAGCATTTCGTCCTCGCTACTGGGGGTGAGTGAGCGGCGACTCTGAGCGGGCGATGGCTGGTTTCTAAGACTCTGTCGCGGAGACGCAGGAGGCGTGAAAGTAAACGCAGATGGAGGCAAGGAAAAGTTGGGTTGGCTGAACACGGGCATATCCTCTTTCGGGCTTGATCCACCGTGAAGGCTCATATTCTCAAGGATTTCGGAAGGCGGCGAGTTGGGGGAATCAACACACCCGGACGAGGAGGAGTCAAGGGATGACTTCTCGGCGACTCTCTGGCGTGTCTTGGCTGCCTTGTCCTGTCTCTCCTCCAACTCTGGTCGATGTTTCTTTGGACGACCACGTTTTGTTGTCTTGCGCACAATACCCTTGTACCCGCCGATGCACATTCCTCGTTGTCTGTGCCGAGTCAGAGCATCGTGCCTAGCGAATACGTTGCCACAAAGACATTCATATGGTTTGTCTCCCGTGTGAATCTTGGCGTGACGCTTCAGGTCATGTCCGCGAACGAAGCACTTGTTACAATGATCACACTTATATTGGCGATCACCAAGGTGGGTCTGCACGTGTGACTTGATATTCTCTTTTCTTCCGAACCGCCGCTCGCAGCCGGGGTGAAGGCAAACCCACTTTCCATCCTCCGGGTCGGGGCCAGAGATGTAGGAGGCGATCTCATCGATGGTTATCCCAGTCTCTTTGATAGAAGCATGAACCCTAGCATCAAGGTTAAGGCTATCAATTGAAGCCACTCTTGGAGAAAGCCGGGGCTTCGTCAAGGAAGAACTGGAGCTGGTACTCAGCGCCTTCCTGTGGGTTGCCCGACTGGACGCGGCAGGGAAGATGGGCAGTTTATGAGTCTTCTCATGATTGTCTTCGGGGCTTGGCATGGCGGCTAGCTCTGGGGAGGATTGAAAGGACGAGGTTGCTGACGACGAGGCATAGTGACTTTGCGATAGATTCTCTGACTCGGAGATTTCGAAACTGGAACCCTGCTGACTGCCAAACGCATCAAAACTGTCAATTTCAAACGAAGCAGTGTTCGGGGGGAGGGCATCTCGATCTTGGAGTTGGAAAAGGTAGACCCCGCAACTCCTTGGAGGGACTTGGCTCGTTGCATGTATGCCGACTGGGCTGATGCGGGTGCAGAGCGGCCTGTCTCCTTAGAGGGGGTGGACTGCATGTCCGTACTATACTGAGCAAGTTCCGCTGGTTTCTTGAACGGAGTTGTCGCTGGCGTTATGGGAAAGTAGTCTGGATCGGTCGTCAGTGGTTGGGAGAAAACGACCGGTATGACCGCAGGGATCACTTACGCGTATTTGCCTGCTTGGGGGTATGCGGTCGTTGCGAGGGGGTGATATCTGACTGAACAGACTGCCGTCTCCCATCGGCCGTAAGGTTGTTGACTTGAGACCGGAGCGTCGTAGCGAGCTGGCTTTGCTGGTAGAAATTCCAGGCACCGTTGTCGAGGATTTGGCCATCAAGGCTGTTGACGCATGAGACGTGAGCATTTTGCAGTTGCTGCTGTTGCATCAGATTGAGATTGTTGTCCATTGATCGAATCCCCAAGCTCGGGTTTCCCATTGTAATGAAGCTCGAATTCATGTAAGGCATGCCCGGATGGTTCGCATTGCTGGTAGAATTGGATAATGCTTGCAAGTCTTCCGAGGTCAAAGACGGGCATTCAGGCATCACGGGCATGGGAGAGGAGTGCTGGGGGAATTGCGTCGATTGCGAGAATCGGGGATGCTGCGCTCCCCTGGCAAGGATTTGGTGCTGCTGAGTTGCTGTTGCGTTAGTAATGGAAACGGCCCCATCGTGCATAGGTCGAGGACGTTGGACGTGCAAAGGTCGTTGGTCGAGACTCTGTCCACGGCGATGCGCATTGATTCGCTGCAATGCCTGTGCTGGAAGGGTAGGAACTTTGGCGGCTTCCAGCGCATTGGGGGTTGAGATCTGCCGACGATGTTGTCGATAGCGCTCGTGCAGATTGCTATGTGGATTGGCTAACATGTCGGGCGGAGATCTCTGGAGTGCACTCGTGGTGAATGGGATCGACCGACAGTTGACAGATCTTGCGTCTGGATCTATCAATTTGACCTGTAAGTCTCATGCAGGAACGTTGCGCCAAATGTACGAAAACGTGCTGTACGAACCTCGAGGAGCGCTAGCCGTTTGGCCGGGCCCAGCAGATGGGAAGCAACCACCCTGTAACAGTGTCAGTTGGTGTCCTATTGAACAAAGATCACAAACCGAGCTAAAGAAGAAGAGAAAGAAAGGGAACGAGAAAGCCGAAGTCTCGGGCTTCCTGTGCGCTAGCTCTTGTAAAGACCTGCGATCACAGAAACTGTCGCAAAGGCTTCAAAGAGAGGCGTAAAAGCTGAAGCTTTGCTGCGCGATTGTCAAAATTGACCTCTAGACGTGGAGTCCGAGAAGAAAACAAGCAAGCAGCGAGAATGAAGAGAAACACAGGGTATTTCAATTCAAGATTTGAACCAAGGATGGAGGGGATGAGATGGATCGATAGATGATCGATAGATAGATAGATAGCTCGAAGCTGGATCCAGCAGACCATGGCTATCCCGATCTATCTACTATGCAGCCCATGGTTCCGATCAACAATGGCGCTGTTGGCCCAGCAACGCAGGCGGCTCAGGCGTCGGGGAAACCATCAACCCTTGGCATGAAGCCTGACAACCTCATTGTGGATCGATTGGTGGGCGTTTGCGCCTTGGTTCCATTGCGGAAAATATTCAAGCTAGGGCCAGTGTTCAAACCCTGCGTCTATCTTGTGAGAGTTTACTTGCGCCTGTACGGAGTAAGGAGCTCAGAGAACAACCCCTCATAGTCGAGACACCCTCGAAAGATGCAGCTATATAGGGGCAACCGGGTGCCTATGAAGGGCTCGAATGATTGACTTTGATGATGCTCCCTTTCTTCGCAATAGCATTGAAATAATTGATGGCAATTATAGGTTTCATGTCGTCAATTATTTGCCAGCAAGGATGGAGGGCCTTGATGACGATGATACTGAGGCAACTGCTCTGTTGTTCCAAAGATAAACTCTGGCGTCATTTGTCCCGCTCGTTTGATGCCTTGGTTTTCAGGCGATAAGCTAAGGAATCCGTCCATCAGTCACATGATCAAGCCTCGTCTCGGAGCGGCGAAATGAATGATCCAGACATCCGACGCTAGATTGAATCGGGCAAAATGCGATACACGTGATCACACAATCATTTTAATCGCACACTCCGCCAGAATCACTTTTACACACGATCGCAACGAAGGTTGAGGAAGACAAGTCTTGTCGAGGTGAGTTCGCGGCCCATACATCACTCCATGTGCCTTCATCCAAATGAAATCACTTGGATTTCGTTCAACATCCATTATCCTCGACGTTGCAATGTAATCTCTCAGAAAGCGCGAGCAGCAATTGCAACCGAGGGTCATGGCTTCCGCACAACTCTTTCAAAATAGCTCAACGACCAAAGTCTGACGATATCTCTCTCTCATAGGCCTTCATTCAAGATGCAGATCTTCGTCAAGACCCTTACGGGTAAGACTATCACCCTCGAGGTGGAGTCTTCGGACACCATTGACAATGTCAAGTCCAAGATCCAGGGTACGCAACCCCTCCGAGCATCGTGAACCCGAGAAGAACTTCTTAATCTGATTTGGTAAAACAGACAAGGAGGGAATCCCCCCCGACCAGCAGCGTCTGATCTTCGCTGGCAAGCAGCTCGAGGACGGCCGTACCCTCTCTGACTACAACATCCAGAAGGAGTCCACCCTGCACCTCGTGCTCCGCCTGCGTGGTGGTGGCAAGAAGCGCAAGAAGAAGGTCTACACCACCCCCAAGAAGATCAAGCACAAGCGCAAGAAGACCAAGCTCGCTGTCCTCAAGTACTACAAGGTGGACGGCGATGGCAAGATCGAGCGTCTCCGCCGCGAGTGCCCCGCCCCCGAGGTATGTTACCTTACTCTTCTGGAAAGGAAGAACTCGCAGCTAACGAATTTGTAGTGCGGTGCTGGTATTTTCATGGCTGCTATGCACAACCGTCAGTACTGCGGCAAGTGCCACCTCACCTACGTATTCGACGAGTCCAAGTAAATGCTTGGCCGTTCTGAAACGGGTCGTTCCACTGTTCGTCCGTGCCGGTAGTGTATGGTGATTTACTGGGCAATGTCGGTATTGGTTGGAGTGGTGGAATCCAGGTTGAGGTAGTAGCAGTTCAAGAAAATAAAGATAAAAATCGGAAATCCTGCCATCCATTATTTTCTTGTATTTGCAGTAGCGTAGTGCCAGGGACTACTCATCCGCACAGTGTAGTCCATTCGGACGAAACGTCGAGGTAATAGTTCCATAGACGTATCAGTCGGTGCTAGGAATTGAAACTTAAAATCATTCATCATGTCATTCCATCACCTTAGGTGGATCTGTCAAAGATCGCTAAATAAGATCTACCGGCCACAACGAGAAGCTCGAGTAACATCGCATGGCATCAAGTGGTCGGTATGGCTTCAAGGGAAACCAGCACGCAGGTTGTCAAATCGCGACTCGTGGTAGTCCAGATTATTCTGGCTCTGTTCGAGTGCATTTACGCCGCCAACGCCTTCCACAAAAGTCCCAATGAGGCTGCCATCGGCCTTATTCGCTGCCTTTCCTCCCTTGTCACCACTGGCTTCCCACCACATGCCGCCTCCCAAGCCCTGCTTCTTGATGAAGTCCACTTTCATCTCCACAGCGGCGACGGTGTCGTACGAGACCATGGTGCGGGCGCCTGCATCGTAGGACCAAGAGGCACCTGCTTGCTGGTCAAAGGCCTCCGTTGCTCCGGGTTGGGGGAGAGCTTTGTAATCCCAGACACCATGCTCCCAGCTTCCAGCTCCATTCCCGGAGTAGGGGGTGCCCGGCCCGTTGGTGTTCAAGAAGTCACGGCCGTACAGCGGCATTCCCAGAACGATCTTGGAAGGCGGGACTCCTCCGACCTGAGTGTAGTAATTGATGGCCTGGATTGTCGAAAATGGGGTGGAAGAGGGGTTGCCATTGGATGGGAAGAGGTTGGCCTGGTGGCCTGCAATGGAGTCCCAGCTTCCGGCATAATCGTATGCCATGAGATTGTAAAAGTCGAGAAAAGGTGTCATCTCCCGCAGCTTAAGCTTGGAGTAATTGTTTGGTCCTAGGTCGATTGTCAATTAAACCCACGCCATTGGCTCGCTAGTGCCGAAATACTCTGCGTAGAGGCAAGGACGAAGACCTACCGGCAGGGCAAGCAATCGTGAGAAGAAATCTGCGATTGGGGCCGGCTGCTCTGTCCAAAGCCTAGGGAGGTCAGTCGACTGACCGTGACGACGGACACATGCAGAATCCAACTCACCTCTCTGCACTTCTGGAGCAACGACACATAAGCTTGAGCCTCAACTTCGTCTAGACAAAAAGTCAACAATCAGCGGGTCACCCACGGCACCTTTGAAACTCACTCTGTGGATATTCCCAATCGATATCGATACCTGATCGATCAGCAACTGCAGCAAGGCAATGCATCACCAAGGGAAAACTTACCATCGAAGCCATAATCAAGGACCAGCTTCGCAGCAGACTGGGCAAAAGTGTCGCGTCCAGCATCCGTGCTTGTACCTTGAGTGAGATTGGCAGACAAGGTCCAGCCACCGATGGAGAGAAGAACCTTGAGATTGCGATTTTGCTTCTTAAGGAGGAACAACTGTTTGACGCAGCCGTAAACGTTGTTCCCGGGTTCATTCCAGGAATCACCAGGATAGTGCTTGTCTACATCCGCGAATGGGTCTCTCAGAAACCTGTCGCCATGATTAGTCGAGCTGTCACAGAGACGAGTATGCTTCGATGAACACTCACACTTCTCCCGAATCGGGTCGGACATCGGCGAAGGCGTAGAGAACATGAGTCAATTTGTCCGCGGGAAGGTCGAAAGCATGGTAGTTGCGTTGATAAATTGCCTAGTTGACCGTCAGCTAGGTCCTGTTGAATTCGTCTGAAAATTGAGGGAAATCCTCACCCAATTGACAAAGTATGCGATGGACTTGTAACCGCCCTCCATGCTGATCTCACTAGAATTCTCGGTAGCTGCAACGATGTTAGACTGAGTACGACAACCAATGTCATTTCCATTAGGAATAGAAAGAGCGAGGGGAGCTGCAAGCCCAATGAAGGCTATGAGCCAAAGGAGACAGTGATTGAAAGGATTGGACGCCATTCTTCCACCAGTGGAAGGTAGGCTAATTTAAAGGAGCGACAAGAAGCTATTGCCAGCAGAGTAGATCTCTGTAGAGGCACAAAGGAGTGGAGAAGTACAGATACTACAAAAGATGAGAGAGAAGGAGAGGAAGCTGGGAAGAAGGAGGTACTTAAAGACCATGGTGCCAGATATCTCGCGAGTTAGGTTGCGAGAAAACTAGTGAATGAGGAACACTTACTCGCGAGTTGTGAATGAAAACCAGAGGATTTCGTGAACAGATAGGACGAAAAGAGACAGCCAACAGCTCTAGGTTAACAATCTAGTGTAGAAAGTGAGTAAATAATAGGATTAACAATGACGGAGAGACAAGAAAAACAGCGATAGATGACCCTCTTAAATACTAATCCTACTCACCGTAAAAAGGCTCTAGACAGGTTTAAGGATAAGAATCTTGATTCTCCAGATACAATTCTTGCTGCCTGACTATCTGGATCTCTCTCCTTGTATGAGGATAGAGCATTGACTGAGATGTTGTCAAGTTTCCCGCCACAGAACTAGATCAGATTAAGGCAGAGAAATGGAATAGCCTCACAGATACCCCACTTGGGCTAGCTCTGTCGATCCGTCATGGGACAGGCGAATTGTGCAACACGAAGAGTGGCGGCTGGCTTTGGTGCCGTCCAGTCCTGGTTCATCTTCTCGTCTCGAGAGGCTTCTGGTATACACTTGAAACTAGAGGAAGCTCTATCATGGGAACATGGGTTGCACTTGGTGAGCCACGGGACGATCCCGGGTAGTGTCCATCAACTTAATCTGGACATTTGAGCAACGACAGAGCGGCTTCAGGATGCATCTACAGATGAAGGTGGTCGAGGAGGTGGATGGATGAATCAAGTCTCGAGATATAGATCACACGAGGAGGTCAACCTGTAGAAGGACAAGAGTGACTGAGGTTCTACATGAACGAAGTGATGAAGGTTGTGAAACACTCGGAAAAAACTGCAGAACCCTTGTATGTCTGCTTTTTTTCTTCTCACTAGCATCGATTCATTGGTTACGAATAAATCAGACAATTTGCGTCTTCCTGACTGGACAGAAAAGGGAAAAAGGGCAATGCAACGTGGCCGAGGATAGCGTAAATATTGCACATTTCACGATCCAATCTAGATTCCAGCAGACGACAGCAGACCTCGTGGGATCAGTCACACAATCTGCAGATTTCTGCATCTCTACATGGGTGAGAAGAACCATAGCAGTGCCCGTATCCTTGACTCCGTGCCAATTCCCAGACATCAATCGTCAAACCTCAAAAATCAAAAGTCAACCAGAGAGGACCACATCTGGACCTTACCTTGCCAGCTGAACACTGCCCACAACCCACAGAGTCAGCCCACTGATTGGTGTTGACTGACTCGACACTACTGCAGGACCCTTCGCACGGCCACACCGTGTCCTCATCGTAGTCAATCTCAAGGTAGACCGGAAATAGCACCGTTTCGAGCATTCTTTACGAGTTAGATAGCTATCGTAGTCTATGCACCTCAAAACAAAATGGGGATCGAAAACCATTCAACTCGGGGGTGGAAAAAGCGCAGTGGGCTGCTGGGTTTTTGCCCCACTGTATCTCAGCTGGAATGTGTCTGACACTTGACTCCACTCGAAAGTACGTATCAAGATCACAGATACTCCACAAGGAACAAGCGTCAGAACTCAATCCTGTGACATGGATATGGTTCTTTCTTGTGGCTAGTGTGACGTTAGAGTCTAGTCATCCGGCATCTGGTAACTATCGTGCTTAGAGTACCGAAGACACGTTAAGGCACACGGTACCATCAGAGACACAGAAGCATACAAATCAGTCGCAGTAATAAGACACTAGGAACAATGACACAGAAAACGTTAAATTTCAACCATATCTAAACCCGAAACACACAGACAATTGGTCACTCAAGGGATATCATCAGTTATAGTAACATATAGAAGAATGGAAAATACAAAGAAACGAAAGAATGCCCGCAGGTTGCTTCTGTGTTCCTCCAAACGATAAGCGACCGGCGCTTTTGGATCGAGAGAAAATGTATCATGCCACCTCCCGTATTAATTCGTCGGACCAGAGTCGATAGGTATGTCACCAGCGGTCAAACCACATCTTGAAACAAGGTCACTTCGGATTTTACGATTGTGACCGGATCAAGGCCAGAATCGTGCTCAGAGACGGGTCGTCGTCCAGCCAGTGTCCTGCGCGTACATCCGCAGCCCGAAGATCAGCGACGACATGCGCATCGGTTATTCGTTGAAGTTCCTGACAAGTCTTCAGGTCAGGCTGTGCTTTCTAGAGTGGATTTCTTTACGAAGGAAACCTACCTGTCGGAATGTGTCGCCCACAGCCTTCAGTTGGCTCGAATGTTGCGGTCCTGGTCTCTGACCCCGAAGGATATTTTGCCGATGAATCGCCCAGCGTCTGGCTGCTGCCGCCCGGAGGTAGATCTTATGCGCTTGGAAGCGCCTTGCGCTGGCGTCGAGGATGACCCTAACGGTGCGGCAGATAAGAATATGTCTCCTCAGCTCTTCGCTCGGTGGTGGAAGATATGTACCTCTGCAGTTCTGCCCGTTCCATCTCCTCACTGCTCGCTTGAGTAGGTACTGCTCTTGCATTGTAGCTTGTCGAGATAAGAGTCCGCGCTGCAGCGATGCTCTCCCTCAGCACAACATAGCCTTCCTCATGGGCATCTTCTGGCGGTGCTTGCACATTCTGCTGGGGAATGTGTATGAGAAGCGTCCGGTAGTCGTTGACAATCTCAGCGACCCTCAGGGCTCGAGCTTGATTAACTATGATATGGATTACCCATTAGCATCTTGTAGGTCGCGGACTACCTCGAAGTGTCCATTGCCGGGTGATAACACTGCTTACGTCCATCAGCCATTGCTACTGTGCGAGAAGCACTTTGAGGACACACAAAGCAGAGAGGGGAGGAAGCAACGACAAGACTGCAAGAGCAAAAGAGCAGAAAGGTAAAGACAAACAGACAAGAGAACCAACCCGTTCGTGCTCAAGATGGTTTCATATACAAAGTCTCGTCCCAAGGTCAAGGGAGCGTTTTCCTTTTAAGCTTGATCCTCCATTGATCAATCGCTCAATATACCAGCTCAGGGCCGTATAGCTGGAGACGCAGGAAGGACAGGATCTCTACACAAAGACACGATCCCTAGCCGTGGCTGGCTGCACCAATGGCTGCTTGGAAGAACAGGTTAGAATATCACAGCTCGTCAGCACAGCTGGGCGATGACCACAACAGTGGATCTGGAGCAAGCAAAGGATCCATGTATAGCCATGCATCCGGACATCCACATAGACTTTTCCATTGTCGTATCAGGCCTGAAGCCTGGAAGCCGGAACCTAAGCGCGAGACTAAGGTTGGCTCCTACTCGGAAATGACGAATTTAGTATGCAGCAGAGCGTTGGAGCAGGGGGGTAAAAAAAAAAAAAAGGAACAAGGTAAACAATTGATAGATTGGGAACAGAGAACCACTCCGCAGAATAATGATATCGAATGGTCAATGGTCAGTGGCCAATTCATCCCGTTTTCTCATGTCACAACCGAGTCAGCGGAATGCCGATCCACCATAGCGTCTGGCTGCTGGTTGAATAACGGTAGGATATCTACAAAGGGTCATAGTGTATGCATCTTAAGTAGAGTGGGGGCGTTGGCTAGAGAGCTAGTGTTGTGGTTCGTCCGAAACTGGCACGACGAGTCGTGGAGTTAGGCGCAATTCGAAAGTCAAGAAAATTGCAGAACACATTTCAGCTGGATGGCACAAGCAAATATCTCCGCCACATGCCGATTGGGAATGTGCTCATATGCGACTTTACAAAAGTGAAAAAGCTGCTGTTAACAAGAAGATGGTCGACGATGAGGATACTGTTGTGGCAGACGTAGGTAACAACGAGCGTCAAGCCACACCACACAGCTCAGCCACACGTCGGCCGCGCCGCCAAAAGAAAGAAAGCAACTGCAGCTGAAAGTGGAAAAGCGATAGGTGGTACCTTAAGTGCCTGAGGCGCCAGAGACCTGAACTCACGATCCACATGTGGCGAAATAAGCAGGAGTAACATCCTTTTTAACGAACTATAGATCGTAGCGGACAGTTGACAAGGATGTCTGCGTAGGTTCATCCCTGACGCTGCTTTACATCAACTACATCTGGTTACTGCAACGCTTACCGAAGCGAGTTCGGCACAGTGAAAACGCAGCTCCCGCACCTTGCAGTCCATAGCGCCCTTGATCCGAGCCTGTCAGATAGCAAGGGTCTTATATCACAGCCATTGTCCCCGTACTTTGAAGTTGCCACCGATGTGGAGGACAGCGGACGATGATGTGACCTACCTTTTTGAATTAAGGACTCGGGCTCGCATTGAACAAGGCGCTCCAAGAATATCAGCAGGAGGGACGAATGAGACAGTGCACAGAGCATCAAAGGAGTAGCATTGTTATGTCGTCTGCATCTAGCAACATTGGATCCTCCTTTACCAAAATCAATCCTTCTCGCTGATGGCCTGTAGCCGCTCGTCAATCTCGTCTTCCGTCAAGGCACGGAACGCAGGATCTGTTCCCTCCCTGCCGTCTGCTCGAGGACCACCAACGATGCCAATCTCCAATTCGTGCTTCTTGAAGTCGACGCTCAACACGTTGCTCAAGGCCGTGATACCGAGCTCGACCACCTCCTCCCAACTACCCTCAGCATAATCCTTGTTCTTCAGTTTCTTCTCCAAGTAATTGAGCGCCTCCTGCTGCTTGGGACCGGATGCAGTGGCCTTGTACCCGACATAGTATCCCGCGGGATCGCATTTGTAAAGTTGTGGGCCCTTCTCGTCGTCAACGGAAATCAGAGTCATGGCAACGCCTAGCGGACGCATGTAAGCCTGAAGGTGTTTTGTTAGCCTGCGATTCGACATTTAGTAAAGAAGCCACAAAAAGACCAACCCTTTGTGTGTAAACTTGATTGATGTTGGCAAGTCTCTTTGCAAGGACGTCGCATGGCATTTCGTAGCCATATTTGTATCGGAATTCAGCTGCCTCTCCGCGAGCACGGTCGACAGACGCTCTGGCATCAGCAATAGAGCCAGTCATGACACAACCGACGGAGGGAGAAAGCCGGAAAATGTGCGAAACGGACGACGGGTCAATCAGTTTATCCTTTGATGAGTCGATTAGATTCCCGCAGCATCCCTGCCAAGTGAGGTGAGACGACCTACAGCGACTTTCTTCTGAGACAATACCACTGCGCAGTTCTTCCCCCTCACACCGATTGAGGTGATATTTGCGGCTGTGATGGCCTTGAAGGCATATTCTAATTTTCAACAATCAGCGTTGTTGAGCCGTGCGTTGATGGTGGCATTTGCGAAATTGCCCACGTTGAGGGCCGGGGACCGCAGAAAACTGGCGTGCCATCGAAAAATATACATACCGACCTGGTACAGACGACCTTGGTCTGAGAAAATGGTAATGTGTCTGTCATATCCAGCGCTCCCTATTCGGAAGAGGATGTCAGCTCTGATGAAGTCATGGAGGTCAACTCAGATGGAGAAGCCAAGGAGCTTACCAGACATGATTGCGGTGTGCGATATTATTCCTCACGAAAAGAAAATAGAAAACAATGAGATATATGACTCTAAGGAGGCAGAGATTGAGATTGAAAGGAGGAGGATTGGAGGATGAAGGATAGTGAGTCTCCAACGTACGCGTGCTTGAAGGTGCCTGGCCGAAGCTCCAAGCTTCTGAGCCCGATTGAGTAAGCTCCGCTGTCACCGCCTTTACATATCCTACAGCAACAGTTTCACATAGACCTGGCACTCTGTTGATATATGCTTAGACTTACGTTTCGATTGACTGGATCCAATAGTATTTCCCTCATATAGGATTCCTAGGCTTGAAATACCTTAAGCCCTAGATACACATTTTGAGAGATCACCACGTAACCTGCAAGAACTCCGTACAACCCCAGCCAAATACCAGCTTTTGACTAATACAATACGCACGGCAATGCTATACATGAGATGCTAGTGTCCCTCCATATTGTAAAGTTCTATATGGGGTAAATGTGACGCTTGAACTATATATGCTGATCAACCGAGCCGCCGAAGACATCCAGAGAATGAAGAGGGTCGAAGCCCTTGAATGTGTACTTTCAATCGCTGTCACTGCTAGCGTCTGTCGACGAGTCGCTGGAACTTTCACTTGAACTGGCCTCCTTCTTCCTTGTAGCTTTCTTTTTGTGGCTGCCGTTGTCATCACTATCGCTGCTCGAATCCGTCGATTGGCTTTCACTAGAGCTGACTTTCTTCGGCTTTGCGGCCTTTTTGGGCTTCTTCTCGCTGTCGCTGTCGCTGTCACTGCTGCTCGAAATTTCCACGAAAGCGGTCCGGTTCTTCTTCTTCTTCTTGGCAGGCGGAGCCTGGGTGCTCGGTCCCCGCTTCGCTTTTGTTTTCTCGAGGTAGAACAACTTCCCGCTGACAGCAAACAGCACGAGCTCCGCTCGCTGCCGTCTCTGAAGCTTCGCCAGTTGTTCTCCTTCAAGCGAATCAGGTGTCTCAATCTCGTCGAAATCGTCTTTGCCTTGCGACAAGCGTGTTCTAAAGGCCTCCACGGCCTTATTGTAGCCTGTCATATCAGATTCGGGTTTGTCCTCCGTCTCCGCTGCTTGCTCTTTTGCCATATCCTCCTCCATTTCAGCTTTCACAACCTCCTCAGCAACCTGTCGTAGCCGTTGCTTGGCACCCTCGCTTTTCAATCCCTTGAGATAAGAAAGAATTGCGGCGTTGTAGCTCGCAGGAACATGTTCCAAAGACAGGATGTGTTTGAATAGATGCGTCTCGCGGTTCTTCTGGAATTTCCAAGCGGATCGATTCTGGTGGTATAGATTGAGATACGAAAGGAAAGGGGGCTCGTGAGACGCTGGCGTAGTGTCCGAAGCAGTCGTAACAGACTGATCCTTCTTCTTTTTCTTCTTCTCCTTCTTCTTCTTTTTCTTCTCGCCCTCGTCATCCGCGTCAACCTGTTCCTCCGTAGCAGGGGGAGCCTGACCCTCTTCAGCGTCCCCATTAATTTTCGAATCATCCTTAACTTCAGGGCGGTTCACACTCTCGCTCTCCTCAGCGTCCCGCATCACGGTATCCGCCGAAAAAGACACCCTCTTCTTCTTGCGCCGCTGCTGAGACTCAGACTCCGGCTCAGCAGCCGCTTTCTCCTCCCTGTCATTCTCATCATCAAGCCGTCTCTTCTTGCTCTTCTTCTCCTTCTGCTTCTGCTTCTTCTCGGCCGTGTCCGTCGTCACTGCGTCGTCATCATTGCTCTGTCCATCGCTGGACTTGCTCTTTTTCTTCTTGTCCTTGGCTTTCTTGTCCTTCTTATCAACTTCCTTGGCCTCACCGTCTTCTACTGCAGGCGTATCCTTCGCGTGCTTGGGCTTGCGTCCTGCCTTTTTCGACGCCGACGCATGCGACGGCTGCGCCGATTCCTCGCTCGACATGGGGAGCGTAAGCGGTTTTCTCGGGGACGTCAGGTGGAATTGGAGAATTGAGTATATTGCACGCTTGTTTAGAGATAATCCAAATGCAAAAAGAGCAAATTATTCGGATATTAGTCCTTGGTAAGATATATCGAAATTGGGGAATTCATGAAGCTCTGGAAAATTTTCCACGTGAGTTGCGGAGTCTGCAACATAGCGTCCGCTTATCAGTACCGGGCCACCGATAAGCGATTAGCCTTGGAGAAAGACGTTTCGAGTAGTCTGTACCAGCAATTTGAGTGATATTTACATATTCGTTCAATAGGTCAACCTAATGTTAAAGTTCTATATCGTTGGGAAACCGTATATTCATCTCGCGTTATCATGCAGACCCCATTTCCCGACTCCGACGAATGTCCGACTCCCAACATCTAAACCCATGTGCGTAAAATGCTCGATGTGAAATCATGACCCTGTTCCACTTCCATTACCGCTATGCTCAGCTCCCGAGGTGTCCTTCCTTTCCCTTCTGGCTTCCAATTGGGGGCCGGCCTCGCCGTTGCCTCCAGGCGCGGTAGACGCTGCAGCCTTTCGCCTTGCCCGCTCCTTGTCCTTGGTGCTGGTCGTTGCCGTCCTCCTTCTCCGGACTGGTTCATAGACATCGTTAAAGTTCATGACGACTCCAAGGAAGCGCATGTCGACATCGGGTTGGTAGGCTAGGTCGCCCAGTAGCACGTTCAGCCTGGAGCGGAACTCCGCAGAGAGCTCGCGCAGACGTGTTCGAAGTGATGCCAGCATGTGGTCGTCTGCAGAAAGCTCTTGGCCGGCGAGAGATGACGGGGTATTGAACCCATCGCCATCAACTCCGACGGTTGGAGTTTGGGCCACCGATGGGGGGAATGACGATAATGAGTTCTTATGCCCTTGTGGACGCCGGGAAGATAGGAGATCGCGCTCAGTAATGCCCCAGCGCCCCTGAGCGGTGCGCGTTTCTATTTTAGCACTGAGCTCCTGTCTTCGGGTAAACTCTGCCACAGAAAACGAATAGAGCCCATCAACGGCATCCTTGTACGCCAGCATGATCTTCAATATTTGATGGAGCTGGGTCAAGAAGCCCTCTTCTTGTTTGTGGCCGGATGCCGTGCGGGATGAGGATGCCGAGCCCAACAGACCCTTGTGCGTGATAGAGTTGAGATATTTGGTATGTGCTTCAATCAAATCATCAAGCGTACACCCTGGCTTGGAGATGGCCGCCTGCAATTGATCCCAACTGGCCTCGATGACCTCAAAGAGGATGTAGTACTGGAGCTGGCAAACAAAATGAATCATTTCCGCGATGACGCACCTCGCCCGTTTCCAGTCAGCTCCGACTTTGTCGCTGACGCTTCCTAAGACTCCGCGAGCGCCGGTCATACACCGCCGCCAAGTACTGCCTAGGGCAAATTCGACGCGCTTAACTCGCCATAGGAAATTAAACACCTTCAGATATTGAGTCGAGCCCCAGGGTGTGATAACAACATCAACAGGCGCATCAATCTTGTATTCCAGCGTAAAGCAGTCCCATCCTATCTCGCCGTGACTGAGTTCCAGCATACGGGCATCTAAACGGCGGAGAACGTCGGGCGGGTCGTATTGAGCGTTGGAAGCACGAATGGCATGCTCGAGCTGCGCGGTGAGAGTGTGCCTATATTGTGAATTGGCAGGCCGATCGAGGTTCGACGCCAAGGATTCCATGAGCAAGGCGATAAAGTCGCCCTGGCCCAGTAGCAGATACTTCTTGAGCGCGTGCAAGTGGTCGAATAGCTTGAACTTGTCGTCCATGAGGTGGATGAGTCGCGCCATAGTCGTTTTGTAGGCTTCATCAATCGATGCCTCGAGGCTAGCCGTATCACCATAGTGCAACTCTTTGGAGGCTTCTTTAGAGTATGCCTCAACCCATCCAGAGTCCCCGCATCCGTATCTGATAAAGTTCAATGATTTGCCGATCAGAAAGACTTTCTTCGCAAAGTCCTGCGTGATGATTGACGGTACCATCTCGTCATCCAGTTTATACTTGTCTTCCCAGACACTGGTCGCAAGCCGTCGCGGGTCCGTGTTTGGTCTGAATTCCGGCTCCATGACAAAAAACTCCTGGTACGGATCTGAAAGCTCACCATCATAGATCCACAGCCGAAGCATATCGTAAAACGGGCGTGTAACGTGTGAGAGCAGCTTTTCCGCAAAGCTGTTAACGAAAGGGTCTCCATGAGACGTTGAGAAACTATGAATCAATGATATCAATTGACCACCTTTTTTGTCTGAAATGCCGTTAGCTCGATGGAAGATAAAGAATGCAGTCGAGGGAAGGAAAAGCACACTTACTGCGAGCCTCCTCAACTATCAAACTCATCAACCGTAACGCCATTGTCGCATCTCTTGTCCATACTACACAACGCTTCAACGTTACCAACCCTTTGGTCGATTCCTTCGACTGATAGGGGTCTCCGCTAGCGGCCAGCGCTCGTCGAATCTCCCCTTCCAAGGTTGCTACAAGTCCCAGGTAGGAACGGAGCTCGTTTGAAAGAGCAGCCCGCAAGCTCTGGGTGAGCAAGCCACCTCCAGAATCCTCCACGTATTTCGACAGGGCTTTATATAGCAGACACGGCTCCGCCAGGGTGTTCAAGAGAGACAAGACGGGTATGGGGAGAGTCGGCGGTAGTTTTAGAACGGAAGATGACGAAAATTCCAGATTGGAAGACGACAATCCTTGCAAGTTGTAGGGTAAATCACGTAAAAGTCCGCTCTCATGAGGCCGCTTTTCGAAGTTATCTGAAAATGACTGGGTTTGAAAAGATGCCTTCTGATCGTCCATAGGGCGGTTATCTCTAGGCGCAGCATCGTGTGCACCGCGAGCCATTCGACCTCCTTTAACTCTGTCGGCTGTGGCATGCCCAAGTTCCTGGCCGACATCCTTTTCCCTTTCCCACTCCTGCCGCCGCACGGAGGCCTTCCGCTCCATCTTTGCTGGAATCTGCGAAGCAGAGGAACTGACAGCCGGGCTATCCTCGTCTGAATCTCCTTCCAGTCTTGGCCCCAGGCCATGTCGTACTCTCTGATGGCCACCCTTCAACATCATATTCTGCAGATTCCCCGCATCCATAAGCGGACTCCGGCTTCTCCCATTCTCATCCGCAACCTCAACCTGGGGATCCGAGCCCGACAGCCGATACAGCAAGTACAGGATCGCCCATTTCTGCGACAGAACCGGCTGCGTCAGCAAGCGCGAATACAAGTTCGAAAACCGCACAGCTTTGTCGGGGCTCGCATTCTCCCGGAGGAGCTTCCGCTTGATAAGGTCCGACGCATTATTGATGTTCTCCCCTCCTGCTAAACTGCCTCTGCGACTGATGCCCAGGCCCGCGCCATCAGCTGGCGAGGCATGGTCATTTCTGGAGCTGGTGTTTGTGTCGATGATGCGCCACGCACGTTCGAGGTTCTCGTGGTGTCGGCGTTCCTCTGCTTCAGCAAGTAGCTCGTCTGCGTCTTCGGAGACGGTATCGCCAATCTCTGCGAGGGAAATAGGCGGAGTTAGGGAATCGACAAGTTGAGAAAGGGCATCTTCGATGCGACGCGGGCGCGCGGGTTGACGCGAAGACATTGTCCGGGCCGCCGTTCGCGGATATGCCTTTTAAAATGCCGCCTGTCCTCAATTTGCTGGCCTTTCTCGAGGACTCCTATCTTTCACTGTCGCGTTGCTCGAGTCAACCGTATGTGACGCGGATGAAGGAAAACACGAAAGTGGGGAGTTTGTTGATCAGTGTGTCGACGTCAAGGAGAGTTTCCGAAGTGCCGCAGTGCATCCTGGGAATTGAGTTGAGAAAGTTCTCCGATAGATTACCTCATCCACTTGGACTGACAGCTTCAATTCGCATAGCAAAAGGGCTCATGAAGGCTGGGATGTTTGTGTTTGTCTTGACTGATCTGTACCAATTCGCGCACGCCAAGACCGGCAGACGTCAGTAAGGTACGGAGTTCTTGGTTACGTGCCTAATGGATTCATCACAGGATAAACGATTACTACTACTTGCAGTCAATCCGCGACACAATTTATGCTTCTTGAAGGATTATACACCGGCGACGATGATCCAATTTACAAACTGAAAGCTATATGAACCTGAATCGCGTTTCATTCACAATGCCTAAGACACCATACGCGAAGGAAGTCATCAAGACACCAGAACAAACCTGAGCCGCCAACGCCGCCCATATTAAAGCTGAAACCACGGCTGAAAACACCAGTGCCCCCATGAACATAAAAACAAGTAAAAATAGTCCCGGTAAAGAATAAGAAAAGGAAGGCCAGAGTACAGAGATACTACACTGCCCGAGCCTTGAGAGCCACAAATGCAACCCGAGGCTTGGAGTTGATGAAAGAAGGATTCGAGATAAGAAGACAGACAGGAGAAAGAAACGAATCAAACCGCCAAAAATCTTTTGCGCCCAAAACTGCACCTTCCGAGAGTGCAATCAAAGTCCATCGCACCAGCTGGATCTTCCCGTCAATTTTGGAGTTCGTACACATCATAAACACCGGCCCATGCCATAGGTCCGCGGGAAAGTCGCAGCCGAGAAATCGAAATGTAAGAGCCCGCGTAGGGGCGAAAAAGCTGAAGTGAGAAACACCGTATCTCCGTCTAGACCCAAGCGGCCTGTACACTGTCGAGCAGAGATCGAATTTTAGATGTCATAATCATGATCAGGCGTCAATTAAAGATCATGAGCGGGTGAAATCACATTATCATCGTCGCATACCCTGAGTAGGGATAGGTGCACCTGGCTGCATACCCATGTTGTTTGCGATGTTGTACGGATGAGGGTCGAAGCCTGTCGACATTCCATTCATCATGAGAGGACCTAGTCCCTGAGCTTGAGAAACGGGACAGTCCTTGTGAGCAAGCAACAGGGTCTTAAGGTTGACAATTTCCTCGCGAAGCTGCGTAACAGTGGCGGTAAGCGCGTCATTCTCCGTAGTAAATAGTTCGACCTTCGCCTGAAGATTGGCAAGCCACTGTTTCTTGCGCTGGCGACATTTCAGAGCCGCGACCCTAGTCAGAGTGCATTAGTATCAAATCAGAGTTGCCTTGGGGAGTCATGTAACAGTCAAGAGCGTACCTGTTCCTCTCCAAGAAATTTCTCCTCTTCTCTTCGTCCGTCATCTTCTTCGTGTCGGTCTGAGATTTCTTCTTCATGTCATCCTCATCCTCGGAGTCGCCAGCTTCGGACGGAGGCTCGGCGCTGCCGGAGCTAATGCTTGTCTTGGCCTTCTTGTTCGGACCCCTGGCGGGCGTATCGTCTGCTTTGCGTCTATTGTTGGCTGTATTCCCTGATTTCGTGGCAGTATTCTTCTTTCCTTTCCCTTTGGCGGAAGGCTTTGCCTGTTCTGCCTGCATATCAGATGCATCACCACTCATCTCTCTACTACTGGCTACGGAGCCATTGACATTTTGAGATCCACGCCGGTCTGCGTCACGCGATTGATTGTTACCCTGAATAGTACGAGGTGGGACAGACGATTGGTTGGAGACGAATTGATTGGCCTGTCCGCCCTTGGCCAACATGAACAACCCGTTGGCTGCATCTGCAGCATCGTGATGCGTGAAAGGGTCCACGCTGGCAGGCTGACTGCTCTTGATATCCATGCTCACACTGTGAACTCCCTCGGAATCGGCTGTGGGATTGGAAGTAGGACCACTCAAGCCGTTCTTTTTGGCAGCGTTCAATGCAGTACGATGGAATTCAATTGTGGAGGGAGTCGCGCCGCCGCTCTGTAGTTGCTGCAGAATCGCCTGGGAGTTCGGACTCGGCACAGGGAACATAGAACCCCCACCACCTGGAGTGAGACCGGTGCGAAGAGAAGATTCGTTGGGAGTTGGGAAACCTCGGCCAATGCTGTCGAAATAATCATTACCACCAGCTGGCCCAGCAAGCATGGCAGGACTCAACGGCCCAGAGCGCAAAGAATTGGACCAATTATAGCCACCTGTAGAACTGGTGCCAGGTAAAGCAGGTGATGTGAGCGCTGCTACAGGAGGTAGTAACGACTTTCCTGGAGTTTCGCTCTGGGAACCACCCCCAAATGATTGTTCGAAAGGATTGGGCTCCAGAGAGAAGGGATTGTGGACCGAGTTGAAGTAATCCGGAGTATCTGTAGCAGTAGTTACAGCAGGTCGCGGGGAGGCGCCAGCGAGGTTTGCGAGTCGACATCAGGCTTCTGGTCCTTAGTGTCGGAAGGCGCCTTGGAGTCTGAGATGCGCAATTAGAACCCAGGTCAGTAAAGGTACAATAAGGTTGGAGTAACGATGATGCGACAACAAGGTGATAAGATCAAACGTGTTGTGGGTGTTGTAAAGGGTGTTTTCTTTGCATCGCGTGGCTGACAGGGTCGGAATCTGATAAGGAAAATCCCCTCCATCGATGACGCCAAGTGTGAGGTCATCCCGACGGCAGGATACAGATTGCAGTATCTGGGGAAGAAGTGGCGTACTGCCAGACCAAAAAGAGTCAAGACTTCAGGAAGGAGGGGAAGACCAGAGGATAGACAGAGAAGGTTTCGTGTAAAAGGTACCAGGGTTCATATCCATGACGCACAAGAAGATATACTACTCACCTCCAGCGTCCAACGCGTTCTTCTTTGAATCCATTGGCGATGAATTACGAGTGTTTGTACTATGCGGTAGATTTGCGGGCACAGACGAAGCGACAGCAGCAGACATCATAGAGACCCGGAGGAGGAAACAATATATTAGGCGAGTGCAGGGCAGCCGCGAGAGTGACCAAGGTAGAGGTAGTAATAGTAGGGGAAGGGAAAAAGACGGGAAACAAGCGAGTGGACGTGGTGGCGAGAGCGCAGAACAAATTTGCGATCAACCGGATAGAAAAGAGGATCAAATAGAATAGTAGAACAAGAGAAGAATCCTTGGGAGTAAGAAAAAGATAATGTTGATAATTTGCTTTGTCGTTGTTCTGGTCTCTGCTTCTTCACGTCTTTTTCCCTGGTGCTGTACTATACGTACACCCAAGGCAAAGCGCACGTACTTAGTGTGTAGTGACTTTTCGAGGTGTCAAGGGGAGAAGAAGAGTTGTGACGTAGTCCGATTCAACAAGGAGTATTTTATTTTAGGGGGTGGAAGAAAAGAATGGAAGAAGAGGGGAGGCGGTCGAGGGTGGTGAGCTAAGCGTTTCGACTAGTCAGCATCCGACTAGTGTGCTATCAGGTTGATAGTAGTTCCCCGTCACGCCAGAAACATGCAACCCTGGATGAGTACAAAAACCTGTGGTTGTCCTTCCAGGTTGCAACCTGGAATCGATTTATGTTATCCCAGCAATCTCTTCTTCTTCTTTCTGCTGATTGTTCTTTAAGATTCAATATTATTATTTCTCTCCTTGTTTCAATATGTGATCTCTCTGATTCTCCCAATTTTATCTGCTACTTATGGAGAGATGGAAGAAACCAACAAAATGGCAGGGAAAATAAAATAATAATAAAAAAGAGGGAAAAAGAAAAAGAAAATACTAAAAAATCCAAGACAAGGAGGGGAACGAATAACAAGAAATCAAATCTGAATAGTAATGGTAGCAGCCAAAAATCATCGCCCTTACCTGTGGTGCTGTGGACTCCCCGGCAATATCTCTCGACCAATATGAATGACGAAATCCCGTCGGAACCACACCAGAAGCGGTGGTTGGATAACAGGGGAATTTGATAAGCAAACTGCTTCTAATTTTCTTGTTCTTTTTTTCCTCTGTTTGGTTGAGTAATACGGAGACAGGTTAAAGAATGCTTGCCCGTTATCCAGGGATAAAAATGACTCGAAAAGAGTGAAATCAAAGAGCCAGACCCAGCACACGAGAGCCCAGAAGCAGCACAGAAGGAAAATCATGGGGCAGAGGAGATGGGGCAGGGAAAACTTGGATGAGATCACGGTGACGACGACAGGAATTTTCCCTTGGGGTATGTCGGACCAGCCGGGTGGCCACTGGGCGACAGGTGGGCCCACATGGACTGGCAGTTGGCCACTCATGGGCCAGTCTCCCGGCTCCACCTGGATTTTTGCAACCTTGACTCTTCAAAGTACCTTACTAAAATTCTACATACAGCATTTTAGTGTGTAGATACTCCCATAGTCACCCCAGAAGTAACACCACGATCTTGTGGGATTCAGATCCTGAAATCTGAGCACACTGACAACTGATGTCTATCAGAGGAGGACACCTAAGAGTATGCGCATGTCTCAGTGGAAAGAGTTCTTTGTAGGGCTCCATTCAATGCGATCCCATTGAAAAGATGATCCAGGGATAGCCTGATAGGTGTGAATGTGTGAAACCAGCCAACAGAGACTCGCACGGAAGAATCCTTCAATACCTAATTGGGTCTCGACTCTTATCCTCTATTCCTCAGCGCTGCTGATTGGATCCCAGCAATGACGCAATGACCGAGGCCGCTTCCATTGTGGGTTCTACTCACGTGACTCCAAGTTACTGATTTTCTGGTTGGATGACAGAGTCAAATGCGCCGGGTTTCCTGTTGCCACTCGGATTCCGTCTCGCCAACAGGCACACGGACTAACTTCTCAATTAAGATAACCCCATATGCACTAGCACCAGTGCTATCAGGTAGGTAGTCTGTCTTGAAGCAAGATGGGATGACCACACATTTACTACAGTACCAAGTGGTAGAGGTGCGTTATCGTGCTCATCAAGGTAGATTGCTTACATCCATTATGCCAGGCTTGGCCAGCCCTTGCAATGGCGCAGGATGCTTCCACGGAGCCAATGCATTGAATCTGGTCTGTCAGGTCCCCTGGCATGATTCATGTTGTTGATTAGCCCGATTCTCACTCCAAGACAAGGTAGTTAAGTCCACGAATCCTGTTGGGGTATCATAGGTATTGATGCGAATGGGGTAATTCTCAGCGTGGCCAGTGGCCACGCTACCTGTCTAGTCTCGCAAATCAATGAACAGTATCGCTACCAGGGAAATTCGAACATATACTCTATTCCAACCATCTAACCTGATGATCTCTGGATGGATCTCAAGATATTCGGGAAATACTGGGTCGGAGTTGGGGCTGCATCGGTAGCTACTCCGTACAGCCTGTCTGTATCTGGGATTACTCGCTTGTTTCAATTCTGCCATGCAGCTACTATCTTGCAATAGTTGAACATTGGGTCTCATCCTGACTTTCGTGTAACACAAGCGTCGACTCTTATCTCTTCCACATAGCATTTATTTGCCTTCATTGCAAATGTCCATCTGGTAACGTTTCATATCTATGCTTGACTTTGGAGTGGTAGTAGGTTGACCAATGCCTTTCCTTGCTTGCATGCTTGAGAACTGCTCCATATGTGGAACTTACTTAGCTACGTTGGCGATCGGATGGATCACGGACGAGCACCGTCACAAGTCACATAGCAGCACATATGTTGACAACTTGACCAGACCACTGGTTCTAATCTAAGCATTCTCACTGGACCTTCGTTTATATCACATCCATGATTACTTTATTTCTAATTCTAGTTCATCTACTTGTCAATTCCAGCTCACTAGAAATGCATATTCAATTGCAGCATTTTGACTACCCCATCTTAAAGATATGATGGACGGACTACCTCTGGCTGTCCCTGTTTCATCATTTTAGAGCTTCTCCAGATACGTCACTGTGCGCGCTCCACAATCAGAAAAAGGAAAATAAAGAGGAACTAACGATCCACTATCAAACCATCAAACCATGATAGCCATCAACGGTCTCATTTTAAGAACCCCGATAAGTAGAATAATTCCAAGGCCCCAGAAGCACCGGCACATGATAGTGACGCCAACCCTCCTCTCCCTCCCGTCCACGTCCCTTCACTGTAAACTTCACCTCCACCTCCGGCCAGAAACTCTCGATCCCCTGCGCTTCATACCACGGCCCAACCTCAAAACGCACCGCCCAGTTCGTCTTGCTATCCGCAGTCGGCAGCGATGAAAGCACCCCGGAAACCGTCGTAGTTGTCGCGGCGGTGGCAGTCCAGTTCTTCACACGTCCATCTGCGTCCGTCGTTGCGCTGAATGTGACGGGGCTTTGGCTGGTGTTGTTGCCATTGCTGCTCCCGAGGAATGTCAGCGTTACTGGGAGGTTTGCGGCTGGGGTACCCGTCAGGGTGTTTAGGACATGGCAGGTAATGGGATCGCGAGACATTTGATTAGCTGCCTGTGCGGCGGTTGAGATACTGCGACTGGAAGAAGTGGTTTGCGGTGATGGGCCGGAGGCTTGAAGGAGCTGTTTCTGGTAGAGGGCAAGACGGTCGCTGGCTTTCACCAATTGGTCTGTTGACTTGGTCTGTCGGTTTCCAACGTCCATCAAGTAGATTAAGAACGAGGATTGGAGAAGCAAGTGTGCGGAATTTTCCCTGCAGAAGTAGATAAAGCATGACCATCTGTTGGCACATGGGGGTCCTTTTCTACCTCCGCTTCTCATGCTTCGGAGAGTACCGACAGCTGTACTCCATACGGAGTATACCTTCAGTGGGGCGTTGACCTTCTGGTTTTTGTGCGAAATATGAGTTTTGGCTACATAACTCTTGCTCGTGGACCTCCGAGGACCATTACAACGGGCTCATTGATGAAGATGGCACTAGAACCATTATGTCGATACAATTTGATCTCCTCGAGTAAAGTTGAGAACGTCCAAATGTATAGATGTCGAGGCCTCAGGCAGAAAGCTCCAGCACGTGCCCCGCCGATGATGGCCGGAGCGTCCAGATGATTCTACCACTTTGACCACGGTTTGACGGTTGTAAATAGTTTTCTTTTTCTGTATTTGCTTGCTTGCCTGTCGATACTTTCAAGTCAGGTCCCTGTGACTCAGATCTCTTTCGAGCCCATTTCTCGGAAGCTTCGACACACCACAATCAAAACTTTTGGCATCTGCGGGGAAGCAAATACGTGTAAATTCAACCCCCATCACTGCTCACCGAACAAGCAAACTAGCCCTTTCAAAAGATTTGAGCGTCTTCTCACTGCATTAAGTCGCATTAGATTTCTGCTTGGCAAATTCTCAACGTTCCGAATCCCTCAAAATGTCTTCGACCGCGGTCGTGCACGGCGACGATCTCATGGAGCCAACGCTCCAGTCCATTCTCAGCCAGAAGACCTTGCGGTGGATTTTTGTTGGTGGTAAAGGAGGTGTCGGGAAGACAACGACATCATGCTCGCTCGCAATCCAGCTCGCGAAAGTCCGCAAATCCGTCCTGCTCATCTCGACCGACCCCGCACACAACCTGAGCGACGCCTTCGGGCAGAAGTTCGGAAAGGAGGCCAGGCTGGTCGATGGGTACTCCAACCTTAGCGCTATGGAAATTGATCCGAACGGCAGCATCCAGGATCTCCTTGCCAGCGGAGAGTCGCAGGGCGATGATCCCATGGCCGGACTGGGTATGGGTAATATGATGCAGGATCTGGCTTTCAGCGTATGTGCAACCTGTGCCAATACTGGGAGTGTGTGTCCATGCTAACAATCAATGTTTCGTAGATTCCCGGTGTCGACGAAGCCATGTCCTTCGCTGAAGTCTTGAAGCAAGTCAAGTCTCTGTCGTATGAGGTTATTGTGTTCGACACTGCGCCAACCGGACACACCCTTCGTTTCCTTCAGTTCCCTACCGTCCTTGAGAAGGCCCTCGCGAAGCTCTCTCAGCTATCGTCCCAATTCGGGCCAATGCTGAACTCGATCCTGGGTGCTCGTGGCGGCCTCCCAGGCGGACAGAGTATCGACGAGCTTCTCCAAAAGATGGAGTCTCTGCGGGAGACTATTAGCGAGGTGAATACGCAGTTCAAGAACCCCGACATGACCACCTTCGTGTGTGTCTGCATCGCCGAATTCCTGTCACTGTACGAGACCGAGCGTATGATCCAGGAGCTCACGAGCTACGGTATCGATACCCATGCCATCGTGGTCAACCAGCTTCTGTTCCCCAAGGAAGGAAGCGGATGCGAGCAGTGCAATGCTCGCAGGAAGATGCAGAAGAAGTACCTCGAGCAGATCGAAGAGCTTTACGAAGACTTCAACGTTGTCCGGATGCCATTACTGGTTGAGGAAGTTAGAGGAAAGGAGAAGCTCGAAAAGTCAGTCCTCTATCCGACCCTTGTTTGGAAACAATGACTAACGACGTCTACAGGTTCAGCGAGATGCTCGTGCACCCTTACGTTCCTCCCCAATAGACTACTACCCTAAACATGTTGTTGTATCCATATGAGAGGCGTAAGAGATATAGTCGGGACGAGTTACGAAATGAATAGACCATAATGATTTGAGATCATACTGCGTTCTATACGCAGGTTCACCTTCCTATTCAGTCAACTGCTTCTGACTTCAATAACCAACTGTAGAAACTTGTGCTTTCTCGTCTTACTTGCTCTCGCCTCAGTTGGCACACATGGTGTGGCTGACTTCTTTGAGTGATTCGCCACAGCGCCTCACTTTCACAGTCTCCGAAAGATCGGCATGTAGTTCACATACTGTCACAAAGGATCTCAAAGCCTCGAGCAAGCTCTTGTTGCCACTTGAAGCCTTATCCATGCTGCTTGAGGTTTATTTGAACGCGAATAAGGTGGCAGCTCAGGACACGAGCCCGGTTCCCTAACACAAACCAGATCTAAACACCCCTTCTATTCTAAGGGTCGCTGCGTCAAATGTCAGGTTCTACTTCCATTGAATATCAAGAATGCTTTGGAGTCAAGTGAGTTTTTGCTTTGACGATACACGCCTCAACTTTGCTTCATATCAACTTGAAGAGCCATTTGATCAATGCAAAACGTAAGTCACTTTACATGTAACTGTCATGAGGTGATATACTGTTCTATGTTTGTGAACTGTTATTAGGTTGATGAAGGAAGTTAGCCTAGTCAATCGTAGCATCTGGAAGTGAAGAAGCTCAAGAGATCAGCAGGTGCTGTCACGAAATGATCGATGTCGGGTGTCAAGCTGAGTTGCTTATTCCAGTTCAGTGAGGCGAGTGATAGGTTGTGCAGTATCGACAACTCCACCCGATTTGGATATGAATCAGAAGACAGAATGCCTTCGTCGGCTGGTCTACAGCACTTCGCCTTGGTACCTGAATAGCGCGAGGTGCTCAGTACTTCCGGCCGTGATGTTGTAAATGAGGCCGGAGCCTCTGGTTCGCTCAATGGGCCGCTTGGTAATTCCAGTTGCAAGGACCTCCAAAGCAGGATCGTCCCGGTGTCTGAAGTATGGAAATATAGGGGCCCTGTCTCAGTAGTATCAGGCAGTTCGCCGATCCCTCGTTCGTGGGTCTGCTTGAAGATCAAGATCCCGAGATCGCCAAAGCAAGTGAAACAGGCTCATGTGGAACAGCCTCATCCGAGATTGTATGCCTACAATCCGCCTTGGTCTTACACGGACTGAAAGAAGCTCACTGGAACCGCTTCTTTTGAGCTCCACGGAAGAGGCCATCACTCTCTTCTTTCGGGTCGAGGTTGAAATCGTAGTAAAAGGTTACCCTCGGTAAAAGCCGTGATTGTGAGGGCAAGTCTGGGAAGACATTGATAGAAATAGCTGCCTTGGCTGTAATGGCGGAATGTGCAAGGTGCATGCCGAGCCATTCAGGAAGCACCAGAACACATAGCATCAGCTAAAGGCAAGTCTAAAAGCAGCAATGACACTGTGATAGTGTGGCATACTTGAACTGGTTGGAAATGAAGTCGTTGACCATGCATCCCAATGCCACGGTATGCAATGGTTGGCTGGTCGCTCTCCGGCCACATTGGTGGGTATAGTAGCTGCATCTACGCAGGAAGGTAGCCAGACAAAATCAGCGGACGGGCTCTTCCCATGTACCTAGCTGGGTGGAGATCACCAAGACCCAGCGGAACGACTTGTAACGTTCTGCTTCAGACTGTTTCATAGGCCGCAGGGCGGATCCTTGTTGGATACATTGCATTGATGAGCGCTTAGGAATCGACTGGTTGAAGAGATGGACTCTCGGACGAGAAGTCACCGAATCCAAAATCGTTATTAGTTTGTCCTGTTGCTGAAGGGTCTCGGATCGTTTCTGCAGATTCTTGTTGAAAACGAAACCTAGGAGGTCCGTTTGCAAGACGGAGCCATCGATAAATATGAGTTGCGGGGGACACTGCATGGAAGACGTCAAGCATTGCTTCCTGAATCGGCCTTGTGCATACAATGCAGTGTTCTTCTCCTCGGTTCTGGATCAATATAGTTGTTGGCAACTGGTCCACGCGTTCTCGGACTCGGCATGTCTATACCTTGGTTACCTACTGTCGGTGTCAGTCGAGACAGTGAAGTTCATCCTAAAATCCGGCTGCTGCTTTTGATTTGTCTAACATGCATTGGCTCTTTTCCCAGATACAAAGAAATGGGTCGAGCGTGGAATTGCTCTCAGGCCTGCGTGTACAACAAATCCACTGTGCATAGATAATCAATCGCTCTCGGATCTTACGATGATCAGTGGGACCCGTTCTTGTTTACGGGGCTCTCCGATCTCAAGACATATTTGAACTCGGAATACTAAGCGCCCTGATTGAGCTGGGGAAAGTTAGAAGACGGTTTCGGAATGTTATTGATAAAATATCCTACGACCTGGACTTGTCCTAGGATGTCAGCGCATGGAGCCACGACAATATCCCAACAGACCAATTTGGTGCCGCATGTTCACCGCAATCTAGTCCAAGGATCTTGAAATTGAGACGCACGATTAAGGAATAGGACCTGACCCTGGGCGCAGCGGCCTAGGAGCGCATGGCGTGGGTGCAGCTGGCCTCGATTTGCGAACGGTATTAGTCTTCATCAAAGTCAAGCCTCACTTTTGTTTTACCGGTGCGAAAAGGGGTTGAATCTCGTCCTCTCAAAGAGTGAGGCGGTCCCTTCCGGGATCCGATGAGCACAATGAGCCAAATTGGCTTTCCAGCCATCTTCTCACTCTGCTCGTGATGGATACTCCTTTGAAGTTCTGGACCACTGTAAGTGTGGTCTCGTCTGGAAGATTCTACAGTGGTTGTAAATGGGAATGCTGATCAGCTTCACTTAAGCGAGCATGGTTGTATATTGCAGCTGAGCATCTCGAACTTCAATCAATTCCTTCGAGCTCTTGCAGATGATCTTCGTATTTATCTCGCCGCTATCCCTTACATGAGTAGACTCGGTCTGGGGTTATATATACACACATCGTCCATTCATATACCTGTTTTCGTACCATCATCACCTTTCCTAAACCGCCATCCTACTCGAGCATCCAATCAAGCTTATATACCTCCAAGCGTGCACTCTAGAACGACAAAACGCTTGCAAAAATGTCACAAGTCCAGCAATATTGGCTGCCAGGCTATGGTCTCTCAAGGCATATTGTGCTGGGCCATATCCAGTACTTCCTTGGACCATCGGCAACTGTCAGACCCTATACTTACCAGGTAAACGGTTACTTAGTTGACGAACGTGATACATGGGAAGAGTCTGCCTGACCCGCGAGCTTGATACAAACAGGGGCGCGACGGCTATCTCATCAATGGCATGCCTTTGACACGGGTCTCTGCTCCCTTCTGGCATTGCTTTCCTACTGCCCTGTCGCTAACAGGATCCCACAGGAACAAATCAATGATCTGGCCATCATGTCACGAGAGTACGAACGGCAGGAATCCCTTCGAATGACGGGAGATATCCTTACACCCCATTCCTGCCGGGAGTCAGAGCCTTATATCAACGAGATAGTACCGGTGCGCGCCTTTGGGCATCGCAGGCAGCCCGTTGATCACGGAGGGCGGCGTGGGCGATGAATTCCAAGTCTTTTGATTGACAATAGATTTTCACCGATTTAGAGCCAGTGATATCTTCGAGCGTATTCGTTTGATTCTCTCCTGGCTTTTGCTTTTCAACCATATACCCCATCCGAGCGCGCCAGTCCATTTTTCACCTACTACTATTTCGTGTTGATCAAGACCGGCGTTTTCGCTGCAAGCGTTATGTCGAATCCGTCTTTCTGTTCGAACATCTCTTGAGATTTGAAATCGGGCCATGTACTAATAACTGGCCTCGACTACAATTCATTTTTCGGGTTGCTTTGGTTTTCATGTGGATCGCCGCCTTTCCGTCCGAGAGACCTTCTCCAATGGCCTCTTGATTCCTACAAATAATACACGAGATATTCCGTCTTCACAGGCAGTCTCATTGTTCACCGTCATCTGGGCCGTTTAGCCTGCCGATAAGGCCATAAGGCAATGAGTGAATACAGGAGTAACTTGAGGTAACCGGAAGGTTGATACTGAATTTCACTCATCTGTCTATAGACCATTCGTAACAGCATATATCAATGGATCAATCAACATAGCACAAAGCTCTGCGACCGTGCGAAACAATATGACTCTCATCAATCGTTACAATCGGTCATTCGCCCGGCTCCGAAGTAAAATCCTAGAGTCTCGGAGCACGGACTCGAGCTGGCTTCCCTTGCGGTTCTTCCCTCGCTTCTAGACCCTTAGAAATGTCAAAGATTCGATCAACGGCCACTCGTTTTCTTTTCTCATCGACACAGAAACACAAAGAGAGTCAAGCAGGAGGCCCAAGAGAGATATCTGAAACTCTGACAACATAAAATAGAAAGGAGGAGGAATTACGGGAACATGAAAAGTGGACCACCTGAACGCCAGCCTGATGCCACTCTGCTTGGTCCCATCACACAAGAAACCCACAGATCGTGGGGATTTTTAACATGAACAGAACCATTCGGAGGAAGGAAAAAGGATGAGTTTTGTTTTCGGGGCGTAAATCTAATTCTTTACTTTATTTCGCAACAGCCGCACTGTGAGAATAAAAATTAGTAATTTGTCAGTGGTGGGGGTACAATAAGTGGAACGAACCTCAGCACTTGTGTCCGGAAGAAAGCACCCTTGGTCTTCTCGATGACCTGCTGGTACACAGACTGGGGAGGGTGGTTCATAATCACGGTGCCCTCCTTGTAGTCGATCTTGGCATCAACACGTGTGTCGCGGATCAGGTTGACAATCCACTTCTCGCCCTCATCCTGGTTCAGGCCGAGACGGGTGGAAAGATCCCTAGTTTCCAATGTCAGTTATTCGTCGCCAGGTCACTAAATTTTAGGATACTGCCACATACTTGATATCAATCCGCTGGTGGATCTTGCAGTAGCTCTCAGAGATCAAGTGCCGGGCAGCCTCGACAAAGGCATCAGCGGTGGAAACAAGGAAGAAGTCGCTCCGGAGCACTTCCTCGGCCTCGCCCAGCTTCTTCTGAGCCTCTTCGAAATCGAAATCAACGTAGAGAGCCTTGACGAAGTCGGTGATAGGGTCGTTGTACTCATAACCCTCCTGGCGCACCACACGGATCAAGTCCTTCAATTGCTTCTGGTATACACTGCTGCTCTTGTGTGCGCGGTTACGGTTGGTGATAACTGCCGCGGCAAGGTACCGCAGGATCCAGGGGCAGTTGGTCTGGATGGTGTTGATGTAGGCGGGGGAGAAGAAGAGATCGGTCAGGACATCGCGAGCGGGATCATGGTTGAAGAAGGGGAAAAGAGACCAGTGAATCAGCCAGGAGCGGTTCTGGAGCTGACCCAGAGGGTTGTTGAATAGACGGGTTTCGATCGAATCTTTGACCTTCTGGACTTCCTCCATCGCAGCCTCCCAGCTGGTAGTGAGGATCTCCGAAGCGAATTTACCCCATGTAGCGGAGGCGACCTTGTCGTTATCCGTCGAAAGAACACGGAATTGATAGAGAAGCTCTGCGGCATTACCATAGCTGCCGCAGCTGTACTGGAACCGGCCGTAATCGTAAAGGCTGTTGACCATTTCAATGGTCACTCCGTGCTGTTCCTCGAGGAACTTCAAGTTGGCGACCTTGTCACTTCGCAGGTTGGCCACGACGCTCTCATCCTGCAACAGCTGAGTGATCTTCGCGCTCTCCTCCTCGTACTGTTGCAACTTGGCGAGAACCTCCTCCCTCTTCTTCACGAACTCATCGGGAATGTCGTCGGAGTTGTTGATTTCCTTCCAGAGATTGGCAACATAGTCGGTCATGTTCGTGTGCTTCAAAAGCTCGTACTTCGCACGGACAACTTCCTTCTCGTCATCTTGGCCCGAGCTGAATTCAAGCAGAGGAAAGACGAGGTGACGGTCGAGATAGGGGATCAACTTGGGAAGTAGGTTGTATTGGTTGGCGATTTCTTCAGCGGTCTTGGGAGGGTGGGCCGCGGCACCACTGAGAAGAGTCTCAGCGGAAGGGGGGACGTTGGCTGCCATGTTGGTGTAGAATGGACAGCAGGAAGAGAGGAAAGGGCGGGTTATATAAAGTGGAGGAACAGCAGCGAGGACTGTGTTGGAAGTCTCTCTCTCTCTGTCTCTTCTTTCGTCCCGTGCCAAAGTAAGTGTGCGGCGGTTTCTTTGCGCTGGCGAAAATGTGGGCGGGAGGGCTGGTGGACGCGCTATCCCACTTTGGGATTAGCAGCAGGTCTCCGCTCAGAACGCAAGAAATCGTATGTTGTAGGATGATGCTTGACATTTCTGTAGGACCTCTCTTCGATCGTACGTCGCCTTCACATCCCCTGTGATAGAACCCATTTGTGGT